TAAAAATACTTTAAAAATGTTTAAAAAGTATTTACAATTAATAAATCATTATAAAGACAAAATTCAATTATTCTATTTCCAGCCTTATTTCTATCACCAAGCCCATATTTTCCCAACTACTTTTCCTTCTTCACGGTTCCAACTTTCACTTTCCAGTTACTAATTATTAATACAAACTTGCTTGCTGACAGTGAGGAGGACTTGAGCACTTGTTGCAGAAGATCAAAGAATGTAGCCATCATTATGAATTGCATCTCAATGTCAAGAAAGCAAAGATTCTTGCCATTGGACCAACAGGAAGAAGAGGAGATTGAAACTGTCAACAGCTTCATCGTGCTTGGATCCACAATTAACAACTTTGTTACCAGCAGTCAGGAAATAAGGAGATACATTGCACTGGGAGAATCTGCAGTTAGGGACCTCTCCAAATTATTGAGGAGTAATGATGTTGGTTTAAGAACTAAGCTGTGTCTGAGTCAAGCCATGGTTTTTCTGATCACTTGCTGTACATCTGAGAGCTGGACAATGAATAAGGATGACAGAAGAATTGTTGGAGAAGAGTGCTGAACATTCCATGTCCTGACAAATTAACAAACAGTCTTTGAGAGAGTGTAGCCAGCATGCTCTTTGGAGGCAAGGATGCTGAGCCTCCACCTCACGTACGCTGGGCATGTTGCTAGGAATGGCTATTCCATGGAGAGAGAGACATAACGCTTGGTGGAGTGTTGACAAAGGACAGGAAGACCCTCTACCAGGGGGATTGACACGGTTACTGCTGCTACGGGCTCTAGTGTGTCAGGAAGTGTGAAGATGGCATAGAATAGGACAGGGCTCAGATCTGTTGTTCATAGTGCCGCTGTGAGTCATATTCCACTTGATGGCACCTAACAATAACAACAACAACAACAACATTCAGTCTGTGTGATGAGCACATAATCTGAGAAACTGAACTATCTGAAGAAGAATTCAACATCAGGACTGGAGGAAGTCTCATTACCAGTTTGTAGTATGCAGATGACACAACCTTGACCACTGAAAACAAAGGACACTTGAAGCACTTAATGATGAAGACCAAAGACCTCAATATGGTTTATACTGTAACATAAAGATTTCAAAAATCCTCGTAACTGGACCAACAAGAAATATCATGCTAATATCATGAGACACCCAGTTTCTCATCTGTGTTCCTAGGAGAAGCCATGCCAATTAAATAAACAAATGCTATTGTTTTGAGATAATGGAAAAGTTTGATCCCCCCACACACACACACTTTATTTTATGTTGGTTGGCATCAAAGGTTTATTTTTTAACTATTATAAATATCCTGCTGTGGGTCACTTGTTTTTAGAAACGAAATTATCTCCCTGCATGTATGTAAAATGACTGGTAGGAATAAAACTTAGCTTTCCATTTCTTTGAGTTTTGATTATTTTTTTTAATGTTAAGGTTTTTGTTGTGTGCCAATGAGTTGGAGCCAACTTACATCTGACCCTGCAGTGAGTTTTCAGAGGCTGTAAATTGCATGGAAAGAGATTGCCCATCTTTCTCCGGTGCAGCAGCTGGTAGATTCGAACTGTGTACCTTTCATTTGGCAACACAACTCTTTACCCATTAGACCACAAGAGCTCAAACAGCATTTGTAGCCACTTTTCCATTGTACTAGTTCAGACTTTGTGGAGAGAAAGAGCTGAGGTAGTAAGACTGCCAGGTAAGAGAATGATTGGTTGTTAACAGAGAAAGGCTCTTGGGGCAGTAAGCTGGAAATACCATTTATTTAAAGAGGCAGTTTTTGCTGAGCTTATGTTCATGGTGATGGAATAATATGGAAAAAAAGGTTGGTAAAAATGGTTGCCCAACTTGAAGAATATAATGCATGCCACCAAATTCTTGTAGAAATTGTTGGGATGGTGAATGTTTTGTTATGCATATTTTCACTACAATAAAAAAGAAAGACAAGGATACATAAGGGGGAAAAAAACCCAAGATAAGTAACAATTGAGAGTAGCATTTTATTAGTACAAATGTCTTTGCTATGTTCAAATTACAATTTAAATACAAAGCCAGTTGATTCACACTGAGGCCTGTCTTATTGGACACATACACATTCTGAGCCAGAAGTTGTTAATGGGATCTTACTCTTGCACATCTACTCACTCCTGCATACGGTAAACCCTTGATGCACGGAGAAATGGTGGCAATAGACAGGCAATTCTTTCAAGGGCTCTCCTCATCACCTAAGTGGATTCTCCAGCTATGTGAAGAAGACAGGAGAATCACGTGACTCATCTCCAACACATGTTGCTCCTCACCCATTCCTTGCAACATGCCCAGAGTATACGAGGCTCGGCTCGGCTCGGCTCGGCTCGGCTCGGCTCGGCTCGGCTCGGCTCGGCTCGGCATCCTTGCCTCCAAAGAGCACTCCAGCTGCACCCTATCAAAGACGTAGCTGTTTGCTCTTTTGTCAGGACGTGGGATGTTCAGCACTCTTCTCCAACAATTCTTCTGTCATCCTTATTCATTGTCCAGCTCTCAGTGCTCCTTACCCTGCATTTTACAGTTACAGTTTTAAAATAGTTTTTGAAAAATAGAATTTGAAGCTGATATTTGTGCAACTGCCCAAATATTTCTTGGGACTCTGGCTTGGGAAACAACTAAGCAGGCTTACCAGTTGGGTCCTGCCTACTGTCCTAAGTTTGCTTTAGCCCAAACGGGGATCCAAAGGAGATGGGGAGAAGGATAGCACCTTGGAGGCTTGGAGTCTTTGAGTGTTAGAGCAAAAGTCCCCTGAGCAAGTGGGACTTCTAGAAGGCTGTGAGCAAGGGAGGAAGAGTCATTTAAGTGGGATGGAAAAGAGTTTGATGGTTGAACTTGAAAGAGGCAGATTGCCCAAAAAGGATGCAGAAAGACACAGACAGCTCATTCCGATATCCCTTCCCCTATTTTAAAGATGTTGTTGTTATTGTTATGTGCTGTTGAGTAGTTAGTGACTTATGGCGACTCAATGTACAACAGCTCTGAACCCTGCTTTGTCCTGAGCCAATCTTATTGTCTCCGACACACCTACCCCCATTACCCAAGTCACGGAATCAATCCAACTCATCCAGAGTCTTCCTCTCCTGCGCTGTCCCTCCTCCTTCCCAGGCAAGATGTTCTTTTCCACAGACTGATCCTACCTTGCAACATGTCCAAAGTATGTCAGACCTAGCTTCAGGATCCTTGTCCCCAAGGAGTAGCCTTATTTTACCCTCTCTAGGAGGAACGTGTTTGTTCTCCTAGCAGTCCATGGTATATTCAATACTCTTCTCCAGCACCACAGCTCAAAGGCATCCATTTTTTTCCTATCATTCCTAGCCATTGTCCAGCTTTCTCAAGCATAGCAAGTAATTACAAAGACCATGGCCTGAATCAGGCACATCTTAGTCTCCAGACTAACATAATTGCTCTTCAGTACTTTTAAAGATAGAAAAGCAAATTTAGTCTAAAGTCTGGGGACCAAGGGATTAGAACAGGGAGAACTGTACAATTTTCTTTTTAAAAAGTGTTTTAATTCCATTTCGGGTCTTGAGGAGGACTTGTGAACCAGAAACATACAGACCTGTACCTGAAGATGTGAAGCTGAATCAACTACCAACTGTTAAAAAAGGGAACACTTTATATGAAAATCTAGACTTCCATCTTTGCATAAGACAAGAGGGAGGTGGACAACAGTGGGCTGTTCTTTCCATGGTTACCCCAGGCTCAAGCAAGGTTAGGCCACCCCTTCCCACACTACAAAGAACATCTGTCTCCCGCATCCCCACAGGTTCCACCATTCCTTCCTTCTCACCTGGGCTCCCAACTAGTTACCAAGATTACTTGCTGGTACCTGTGGGCATTTGCATCTGCCAACCCTGACATTGATAGTTGTGCTTTTGAGACTAAAACTGAAGTAAGGGCATCAGGCAAGGTTGAGACAGAGGTTTCCTGTTCCTGTTTCTCAGAGTTCTTACATCTTCAGTTTGTGATCATAAGTAAATCCTAATTACTCTCCAAGTCTTGGTCTTCTTGTCTATAAATGGCAGCAGAAGCTCCCTCCCTCTCTGATGTGGGCTGAATAACAGCGTGTGGGACTTTATAAACTGTAAAGTTTTGGCATCTCTTGTTTGGTCTGCTTTGTTTCCATCCTAAATTTGTGTGGGACCAGCCCCCTTACCATTCTCAGACCACACGGCTGGGTGATGCTGACTCCAGCTTCAGCCCCAGTAGTGGTGGTCATTGAGTTAGGTCAGCCAGTTATAGTGTAACATTCTCACAGAGACAATGATTGGGTTAGAAATAGGTGTTTGAGCCAACAGGGACAACAGAGGCAGGGTCAGGCCTTGGGTTAGAACTCTAAGGAAAGAACACTCTTTTCTCCACAGAACTTGGACATGGCATGTTGACTGCTACTTTGCCAACAGGTATGAGAATGAAGACAGTAAGGAGAAAAATAAATGGAAATATGGGGACAGGCAGAGTCTGGGTGATATAATCTTAGGTCCAGGGACCAGATGTACATCACCAAATACATCCCCTTTGCTTCAGCCTGATTGGATGAGTTAACTCATCAGAAGCCCCTAGCCCATGAGGTGAGGGCCTCTACACTATTAGGCAGACTTGGGAACGTTTGTTTGGTTTGGATTCATTTCCCTCCGGATTCTCTGAGTCCTGAGGTGCTCCTGCTGTGGTGGGCAGCTCTTCTTTCTGCCTGGATTTGACCAGCCACACTGCCTTCTTGAAGTTCTTGAGTGGGTCCTGCTGTGAGACCCTTGATGAAGGGCATTGGAAACGCTCACGGATGAGATAACCATGTCTGGTGGGAGCAATGAAACCATTTGAGGTTGGAATGATTCTGTTCACAACCGCATGGACAAACTGGACAGCCAGCAAGGTGCCTGTAGGGCAAAAGGAGAAACACAAATGAGAAAACCAAGGAGCGGAGGTCCAATACCACACACTCTAGACTTGACTGTGGGTTCAAATCCCTGCTGTTTCTTGCTAGTTTGAACATGGCATTTAGCCTCTTAGAAATCTACTTGCAAAGAAAAGAAAGAAAGAAGGGAAGGAAGGAAGGAAGGAAGGAAGGAAGGAAGGAAGGAAGGAAGGAAGGAAGGAA